GGGTTTGGGCAAACGGGATAGAAATTGAGGTTAACCCTCTTTGAACCTGTAACAAGCTGTTCTTTTTCACTGTCTATTTCAGTCACATTTAATCCCTTGAGTAGCACACTTAACAGTCGCTTCACAACTATGCTTCCATTATGCATGTAGGCCAAAACTTCATCCCTGAAAAGGTAATATACATTAATGAATAATTCTAGAAATTCAGTATGAGAATATCGATGCACGGAATGCAAAATGTATATAACTTGTTATAGATGGACTTGTTTTATCACGACAATCATTAAGAGATAGAATTGATATGTGTATGTACATGTATCTACGAGATTGTCATAATCCCCTAATCTTTATAACTGGATAATTTTGTTTAATGAAAACACACATGATAAACATATGACCACATGAATAATTAACAGTCAGTAATAGTTATAGAATGATATAGCACGCATGCATGAATAAGTTAGGTGCTAGGTTTGAACTACTCTTACTTGCAAGAAGAAGGCCACAACTTAGAGGCCTCATCCTCGGAAACATAGAAGAGACTGAGGTAATCTTTCCATTCCAGAGCCTTCTCGACTGTAGGAATGAAGCTTGTGGTGTATCGGACATTGTTGGATACCGAATTCTCCTTGGAGTACTTGTTCTTCTCCTCAGCAGGCGAGTCAAAGAAGCGATATGTCGCGTTTTTGACATTGTCAAGAACTTCCTGGGGTATGCCATGATTGATGATCTGAAAGAAACCCCATTTCTCCGCAGCATCGCATATCGCCGCCCCGACTTTGGGGTCCTCCCAGTTAGACGCGTCGATGATCGGAATAGACTCTCCGACCATGACCTTACTCATAGTCCTCTCTTCCAGGGGCTGAATATATTGTTCGGGAAGGGTTTTGATGCCAGTTTCTGAGAGACCCTTTACTCCATTGCCTTTGTTTATGACAAAGTCAGTGACAGAATCGTTGGCCCAATTGGGTTTAGAAGGCGCCATCAGTATAGGACTGCTTAACAAGAAGAATAAAAGGTGAAGATTTTTTGTTTAACGAGAGTCGATCTGTAGAAATAAAGCTGAATATTGTTGTGATTTACAACCCATGCAATCCGTGGTATTTATAGTTGTTTGTTCTATTGCAAGTCATGACTATTAAAATTAAGAATATTATTGTAAGATATTCTAGTCAATATTGTAGACTAGAGTATATTTCAAACCTTTGGGCCAGCTATCTGAAAATATAACGTGTTCCGAATTTGGAAGGCAGGAGCCGTCGTTTAACATTGAAAATGTGT